GGGTTGAAGGATCATTGACATCACCTGGATGAGGTCACTCATTGACATGACCATTATAAGTGAACGCTGTAAGAGAAGATCGGTCAATGGTGTGGTCAGAGCAGAAGAATAGCTAATGGGAACAATCTGCGAAGGTGTGATTGGATGGATGGGGAGGGAGGGAGTGATTGGGGGAGGGTTTAAGTACGATTTGAGAGGCAGGAATGTTCTGGTATTCCACACTTGGTTGGTCAGACACCGACCAAAGTGTGAAAGAGATTGAGGTCAGCCAGTTTTCCAGGCTGGAGAGAAACAGATGAAGGAGATTGTGTCACACCTTGTTTGCTGGGTTGATGACGTTGGGTGAGGCTGTTTGGGCAAGGTGGTTGAATTTGCCTGTGATCAAAAAGACTGGGTTGTGGTTTTTTGGGGCTGAAAAAAGATCGGCAATTGTGGCAGTTGTGGGCTGAAAAGGGCAAAGGTGATCAAGGCTGCTCGGGCTGACAAAGGAAATCGGATGGGTTTAGATTGGGGGCTGAAAGAGGAGGTGAGGGGAAGGGCTGGGAGTCCGGTCTGAGATAAACCCGGGCTGCTTGAGATGACCGACAAAAAGGGACGGTTGAATTTGCTGTTAGTCCTTGATTTTGGCAGTGAAAGGAAATAAGGAATAAGCCAACGGTCATCAGTTAAATACCTTTTGGTTCATACAATTTTTTCCGGTCAGGGTCCTGCCTGGTGAAAAGTCAAATCAGTCAATAAGTTGAAAAAAACACCTGCCCAAAATTAACTAGGATCAATGGATTTAGATTATCGATGTAAGCATTGTATTGGTCTTCACATTAAGGAAGCATTAAAAAGACTTACCTTTTTGTGAAAGAATTTGTTGCAAGAAACGGTGGCAAGGAAGCCAAGTATGTGTGCTGCCTATGCCACGGAAAGGCAACAACGGATAGGAGGAGGCATTGCCAAAGGAATCGACATCAAGATCTTGTTCGGTTAAACAAGGAAACTCAGAATTTGGAGCGTTCTCGGAGGACAGTAATTGAAACATTGAACCACGTACCAATCGTTCTTGATAACATCATCTCGGGGATTCTTCCTGTGGTCAACGACAATGAAAACCTACGTTTGAAGATACAGAAATTCGTTGTGAAATCCCCACTGCTGAAGATCCGGAGGAAGTCCCGCAAAGTATTTTTGAGGAGGAGTCGTCCGAAGAAGAGGGAGAGCTGAGCTGGATGGATTTTATTGGTGTGGCCGTTGGACAGATAAATGCTGAACCCGAGGATTCCAGTCTGGACGATTTGAGCCCCCTGTTTCATCTCGAAGAAGAGAAGATTAGAAAAATTACGCCCGATAACTCATCCTGGTATCCATTTCTAAATAGAGAGGTGATAGGATTTGACTCGAGTATGAAAAAGAAAGAAACAAAATACTTACCTGGTTGTTGATTTATGCTTCAGTATCTTGTTGGCTCCTTGCTCCTTGGTTACTTACACAAGCTTATGTCCCGGGATATGTACCATCTAATCCGGTCAGTTTTCACGATATACCACGTCCTACTTCCTGGATGGGAGGCCTTGCAACAGATGCGGGCAAAAATTTGAACGTTGTCCAATCACACTATTATTGAAAAAGAGACGGTTTTTGGTCAGCCAGTGTTTGGATTGAATGCCCAGGAGTTAATCAGAGATGTGAGTGGCTTACTTGATTGGTTTGTTTTCCACAATACAGCTTGCATTAATAAGTCAACTTGTCTTTTTGCTTTGTCAGGATTTATCAAATCCTCTTGTTGCGCCTCATCTTGATTTCGTGCCAGAAGAAACAAACAGACGTAATATCTACAAGACATCTCAATCAGCCAAGTGGCTGAAACACCTCCAATCAGATCTTCGCGTTCAGATGGTGGATTCCGACAACAAACACTTCTATATCTTTGAGCCTGTAAAACTAAAAGATTCTCAAATCGTGATCCCCATCTTCTTTCACCTTCAGAATGAAAAAACCTACGCAAAATGCTACCAGCCTATATTCAAATCTAATCTAGAACAATCACAAGTAGAAATTCACATTTCTGCAAACATCTCTTATCACGATGATTGCCTGAGAACAATTTCTGTTGATGAATTTTCTGTACCATATCCTGATATCCGGCTGAATAGTGGCTCAAAATTGGCTGAATGCTGCGGGAAAGAAATGATTGGTGAGATTTTATTGATAGGGAAACTTGTCAAAAACCCATTTAAAAACAAACAAACTGAATGATTTCCCTGATTTTGTTGTGTTTGACAAAAAAGATGAAAATAATTCAACTATCAGCTTGCCAAATCCTTGGAGAGAAAAAGCAGCGGGAAAGATTTTGAGAAATGTTCCCATCAACTTATACTGTGATGACACCTCCGGAAATAAATCCAAAAAGTGGAACAAACATATTTCCTACTACTTTACACTTTCCGGCTTACCACCCAAAATCTCCAATCAGGAATTCAACTGTCATTTTCTCTGCACATCCAACATTACCGGACCTTTGGAACTAGGAGAAATGGTTGTTGAACAGTTGAAGTATTTTCTTTCCTATTTCCCATTGTTTTATTTCTTTGGGTCTGTTTTGCTGATTTTTACTGCTTTTACTTTAATTTGAATCCAGTGATATGGCCACCAAGGGCTTTGTAGCATATGATAGTACCATAGACCAAGAGGTTCATGTTATGACTAGTGCTCTTTGTTTCTTAGCAGATTCCCCCATGCACGCCGAAATCACCAACACCCATGTTCCTGGAAATGCTCTCAATTCTTGCCGATATTGTGTCTTAAGCTCTGACGATTTGAAATCCCGCCAAAAACTCGCGTATCTTGCCAAATTTGCTCAAAAGAACTCACACGGATCAGATGTACATATCAACTAATTTTTACTTGTTTATAAAAAAAAGGTTCTAATTTTTTCACTCTTCTGACACAGTGTCCAAATCCCCTTCGTACTATGGAAGAAACCACAGAGAACTCAAAAAAACTGTGGACAGAAACCAAGGAAACATTGAACTTGGATAAACTAAATGCTAAATCTGCCAAACTAGCTGTTCGAGATCAAATCAATCTGAGATTTTCCAAACAAGTGTTCAACTTTCAATCAGAAAAAATTGCATTACTGGCGGCGGGAGAAGAATTACCAACTCGGTTTGAGCAGGACATTCCTCAAAAATTAGTGGATATGGAAGAGAAGGAACCCAAAAGAATGTTTAATGCATACTTGGAGTTGAAAGGTTTTTATTTTTATGAGTTATTCTACATTGAAAGTTATAACTAACTCTGTTCTCCTTCTTTCTTTGTCCTTCTTAGGGTTTGATTCTGTCAAGGATACTCCAGTTGAAGTCTTACATGTGTTTTTACTTGGACCAGTGAAGTATTTATTCCGAGATTTTATGAAGGGATTGGACGAACTTCAAAAAAAGAAACTTGTGGCGTTATGGAATTCTTTTAATACCCATTCTTTGAATATCCCTTCTATCAGACCTGCCAGCATGGTCCAATATTATTCAAGTTTAGTTGGCAAAGATTTTAGAATTATTCTCCAAGCAGCTCCCTTCATCTTCTTCCAGTTCATGACCCAATCCCAAATCAAAATCTGGTCTTCTCTCTGTCATCTTGGCTCATTAATCTTCCAAACTCACATTGACAACATGGAGACATATATTTCTGACTTGAGGAATCATATTGACATATTTTTACATCACATTATTCAAGATTCTGCCCAATGGGTCAATAAAGCCAAGTTTCACATGTTGCTTCACCTTCCAGATTCTATTCTACGTTTTGGTCCAGCTACTCTTTTTGCAACAGAAAAATTTGAAAGTTATAACGGCATTCTTAGATTTGCGTCAATTCACTCAAACCGTCAAAGTCCTGGTCAAGATATAGCAATTACTTTCAGCAATTATCACACTTTCCGTCAAATTATCTCAGGTGGTTTCTTTTTTGATCCTATAACAAAGAAATACATTCAATCTTCCAATCTAGTCACCAATATGTTTACCCAAAATCCCTTAATCCAGAAAAGCTTGGGCTATAATCATTCAGACTCCATTCAGAATATAAACTATTTTCCTAATGTTAAGAAAGATTCAGTACCAGAACTTAACCAGCTAGCAATCCCTCAAGACTTGAAGAATTCATACCCGGCCCACAAAATCACACAAGTATCTGAACTCAACCTCAACAAGAAGCAAGTACTCAAAAAGGATTATTTTATTCTGGTATTCTTTTTGATCTGATCTGTAATCCATTAAGCTGTCCTGATTCAGTCCTCTAATTCATGTAGTTCAATGTCTTGCAGCCTCAAAAAATCCAACACATTGGCCAAATAAACTCCATCTGGATGGTTCAGAGACCTTCTCATCAAAGTGGCTACTTTATTCATACAACAGTCTTTCAAAAAATGGGGATAAACGACACTTACATGATGAGGGACATCCAGAGAACCCCTCAAGAAACATTTGTGCACTCAAGTGTTAGCATTATGTCTTATTTTCATAATGGATGAGAAGCTTATTGATGTTTTGATGTGTTTAGAACATCGAAAGTGGACTGAATGCTCAGCACGATTGTCATCGCGGCGCATGTCAACTTACTGAGACCTTGGCGGTACCCGTTGAACAGCGAAAGACCTCCAATTTGGCCCTAGAGTTGACTCACAACGACAATGAGAGGTTTGTTGTAAACCTTGCTTCACTCTCATTGCCAGCATTACATAGAGAGGTATCAGACGTTGGCTTTCGAACGGTTGACCGACTACAATGGCTTAATACAATGCATGATGGTTTGACTGTTTGGTTGTCCACTGTTAAGAAAAAGCAAGAGAAGGCTGTGAAGAAGAACGCGGTGGCCTCGACCTCAAGAACAAGAACCGACCCAGGTTTGATTTGAAGGAGACAATGTCAATATTTATGTAGACATGTAGAATGACATAAATAGATATAATACAGGCAACATGCTTTTTTGTGTAACTAAGTAAGGTGTTTCGATGTTCAGGTCCGTCATCAACTTTGTTGCCGGGGTTGATTGAATTGCCACCATCATGGGTTAGTTTTGTGGAACGTAGTCGGCATTTGCCGAGAAACTTCCATTGAGTGGGTGATTTTTGTAGAACAAGCAAATGCTTTGCCTAACGGTCGGGACCGGTGTAATCTTAGCCTGTCAAAGGAATAAAGGCATTCAGCTTGTGAATCACCTTCTTGTAAGACTTGGAGGAACAGACCTTCTTGGAAGGGCGGCGTGCTGGTGTGCGATTCAACACTGAAGCATCGTGCTCTAACGAGTTTCCGGGCTCAGGGCCACTGGCAACACGGCCGAGGGATTCGGGAGTGCTCGAGCGTTTGGTCGGAGCGGGAGCATCGTGCTCTAACGAGTTTCCGGGCTCAGGGCCACTGGCAACACGGCCGAGGGATTCGGGAGTGCTCGAGCGTTTGGTCGGAGCGGGAGCATCGTGCTCTAACGAGTTTCCGGGCTCAGGGCCACTGGCAACACGGCCGAGGGATTTGGGAGTGCTCGAGCTTTTGGTCGGAGCGGGAGCATCGTGCTCTAACGAGTTTCCGGGCTCAGGGCCACTGGCAACACGGCCGAGGGATTTGGGAGTGCTCGAGCTTTTGGTCGGAGTGAAGTCCATTCTTATGATGTTCAGGTGGTGGTGGTGGTCGAGTCAGGTTGGTGTAACCTGCCACCAAGTCAAGCCCGCACTGATCACGGACAAGGATGATCCCTTCAAGGGCTTGACGAAGGCTCAACCAGCCGACAATGTTGGATCACTTGTTCAGGCAAGCCTTCGTTGGCTGGAGAAGCCCTGAATGACTCCTTTTTGACTGTAGTCGCGCCAACAGCCGTTTTGGGCTGGGCCAACTGGCCAACACCGTTGGCCTGCTTAACAGGGCCAAATGGTGTCGGCCATGTAATCCACTGCCAAATTTTAACCCGAGTGTCACGCCGACAGGGTGTGTCGGAAGTGACGGCATGACACCCCTGTCGGATGGGTAAGACCAGTGTGGGACCTACCCACCGCCAGTGTTGGCCTGTCACCGCTGTTGATTACAAAGCAGACAGGTCGGTGCGGACCTGTCTTCAACCCCGCAGCCAAGCCAACGCGGCGCCAAAAAAAATATCGAGCCGTGGTGTACAAAGTCTATAACACTTGGGTCGGCCCAAACCCAACATGCACGAACTTATCACAAGTCTCCAGCTGCGGCGGGCGCATCTGGCAGCGTAGCGCTGGCCAGGCGGTTCCCGAAGGGAACTCCCCGCAGGGGAGACTTGGGCCAGAGGTCGACAAACTCAGGTGCTGAGTTTCAATTGTTTTGGTGGGAGCATCACAAGATTTGAAATCCTGATGCTCCCTCAAAACTTTCTTGATGTTTGGTCTCCAATTTTTCAAGACCTGCCTGATCTTATTGATCAGGCCAAAACTTAGAAGTTGCACCTCGCAACCGTAATTAATAATGATTTTATAAAATCAGCATTTGAGCTTTCTTTTACGCTGACATAAGCGGTTTGATGAACTCGCACACACCAAAAAAGCTCGACTTCAGTTGAAAAGTTGTCATTTTCAAAAATAACTACATCAAAACTCACAACATGACACAAGAATGTGAGCAGAGGGAAGAATGTACAAGAAGCAGACCCTCCTTGGGCCACAAGTAAATTAGATAACAGTGCAAGAAGAAGAGCATAGGCAGAAAAATGCACAGAAAACTGGGTTTCAAGCCCAATTTTGAAAACTCAGCACGCGGGGATTGCCGCATCTGTCTTAGGCCTCCACTGGCGTGGACAGCTCCGCTGCTCGCTCCCGCTCCCGCCGTGGAGGCCTAGTTAGGCTCGCAACATGCATACTGCCAACCCGAACCCAACAAGTCCCAAGACAGGTTTGGGTCTGGGCAGCATGTATTCAAGTTTGACCCAACCCAACCCAACCCAACATAGGCATTGGTTTGGGTTCGGGCACTGTGTTTGGGCCTGAACCCGACCCGTTTACATCCTGAATTGAGACTTGGGTTAAGTTTGGTTCAGGCCTGCCAATTGCCTTTTTTTGGCAAAAATGGCGGGCCAGTAAGCTCCATACCGACCCCCGTTTTGCTCCTTGAAAACACATCCATACCCCGTTGGATAGCTCGAGGTGACCGGGTACCCCTCGGGCTTCAGGCTTCATCGGCCAGATTTACAAATAATACTTCGGGGGATTTCACGATCTTTAACTATGACCCAACTGCAACACAAACCATTCCTCGACATCAAGCCTACAAATTTCAACAAACCGAAACACCGCCCTGATCTCGTTCCCGGTAATTGCACAGCGCGGTCACATCCGAGAGCTCATCCACGATGAACATAATTGTGAGCTTGCTCCGAGACTATTCGATGTGCACAACTTTCACTAAACTGACGTTGTAGGTTGATGTTCTCCTAAAGGAAGCTGTATTTGGACGCTACAAGTCACCAGCGGAACGGATGCGGGAACATCAAAGGTCGTTGCAGAAAGCTACGCGTGAACTTGACCGGGAGCGTACAAAGTTAGAGAGTCAGGAAAAGCAACTGATAATTGACATCAAGTCCAACGCCAAGAAAGGTCAAATGGTTGGTGTGCACGTTCTGGTTCTGATCCTCTATCTTTCATCTTCCTTGATTACGATTTCTCAACAAACTCTTCATCAACATGCCACCCATAATCCGATTAGAATTCCTGCAAAGTCATGGCTCGTGACTTGGTTCGGACCCGGCGCTATGTGGCCAAGTTTTATTCGATGAAAACTCAATTACAAGCTGTAAGCTTACGACTACAGACCATGAGGAGCAATCAACAAATGGCTGAAGCGATGCGAGGTGCGACCCGGGTGAGTAAATAGCTGCTGAAAATTCTTACTACACTGGCACCTCAATCATTTTTCTGTCACTAAAACGGTCTTGGTTCAGGCAATGGGGATGATGAGTCGGACGATGAACTTACCTCAAATTCAAAAAATACTGATGGACTTTGAAAAAGAAAGTAGTGTGATGGACATGAAAGAAGAGATGATGAATGATGCGGTTGAGTAAGTCCTCGAAGATTATATTCAAGCCATTTCACTGGTCATGGATTTCCTTTCGACCTTATCGATATGTGATCCTTCTATAGTGACGCCATGGAAGACAACGAAGACGAAACGGAGGAAGAAGAGAGTGACAAAATCTTACAGGAGGTCCTGGATGATATAGGCATCAACTTGAGTCACCAGGTGAAGCTTCCTGCAATTGCGTCGGCCTGTTGACTTGCCTACGAAACTGAATTATAATTTGATTTGTTTGAAACTTTTAGCTTGGAGATACTCCAGTTCGCCTCGAAGCTCCATCGACCGTCCAAGAATCGCGACAGGCTGTGGCCATTGGCGAATCGTCGGCAGGCCCGACCGGAAGTACCGCGGGTGGCGGCGCTAACGTACCTGATATAGATGACTTCTCGGCTCGATTGGCTTCATTGAGAAAGGATTGATCTTCCCCGTCCATCTCTAAGGGTCCGATCTTATTGAGATGATTCATTGTATTTGTCTTTTTTATTCTTTCCGTTGCTTGGTTTCTAACTGTTATTGTCTGCAATCTGCTGTACATTAAACCCTCTGAAGATCATCACCCCTGTCAGCAATCCAAACAACTATCCACATTGGATTGTATCATGACATAGTTGGCTATACAAAACCCAACGGAACAGACATGTTTTGTTTCAGGCAAAGTGATTAGCTAACTCCTTCTTTCCCAATAAAAGTGGCCTTCTGTACCCCATGCATTACGCCGGGTTTTGCAGTCTTGTTTTGTTTCTCAATGCCAAGTGGGATGAAGGACAAACCCATTTCATTTCTTAAATTGACAATCCACAGAGAGACCTGAAGGGCAAGCCCGTGTGTCATGAGATAGGTTATGCCCTTAGATGGAGTGGACTTGCAACGAAACCAGGATTTGGGAGAAGCCCTTCACTATGCTCTTAGGCAGGTTATACACAAAGATTGGTATGCCTTTACACAGGTTTCAATGTATATGGCTGATATATCAGTTTCTCTTACCAGCCCATGCATGTTTCCTTGGTAAGCAACTGTATAATAGCATCAAAAAAAGCAAAAAAAAACTTGACAGATGACAGCACAGGAGAGAATTGATTGGATGACTAGATGCTCCTAGAGACCATTGATTGGACTATGTGGCAGGGTAGAAATCTTGGAGACATGTCTCAAATATGTACATCTTCTTGAGTGATTCCAACTGATTTACAACAAGATTGGCTTCTTGAAAAGAGTCTGCCCAGGGCAAGACCTGTGTTGAGCATAAGAAATGAAGTACATATTGAATCTCCTGGAACAAGTGGATGTGTATTCTTGTTTATTGTTAAGTTTTTCACTCCTTTGGTCTACTCTTGCCCAAAATCACTCCCTTCTTCACCCTTCTTTTTCTCTTTTTCCCTTCTTGAATCATCTTGATATAGATTGAATTATAGTTTCTCATAGCTGTTTTTTTTTGAATCTTATGCATTGTAGTAGTCTAACTAGAACTCCCTATTACAATTTTTCAACAACTCCTGTCTTCATGATTGACTTCTTTCCCTTTCTATTTTTCATTATTTGATTCTTAAAACTGATTATTGAGAATGAACCACTTTCAATATTTGTGGCTAAATTTATGTTTTATCTTGATTAATTTACTGGCATGACTAAAAGAGATTGAGAAGGCCTGTCTTGTTTTTTCTTTCAAGAACTCATAAAATTATTCCTCTCAGTTTTATTCAAAACCATTCTTTATTAATTTTCATTTTCAACAACATTTTGATCACATGTATGTAGTCTACTTAAGCTAGCCTAGAATACTGTGAATAAAATACCATTGGTTCTTCACAATCCTTTTCCGTGAACCTTTCTCAAAAAAGGCCTTTGTCTTTTTTTGTGCCATTTTTCTCAAAGATCCTCATCCACAGTCTGTCAGAAGTTAAAAAATTCAACATTTATTGCTGTGTATGGCCAAGTTATGGTTTGGCTGTTGACTTCAGTCTTTCCATCTAGCCTTTTTTGTAGGGGCTTGGCTAAACAATTCCCAAAAAGTGGAGAGTTGAATCCCAAACCTCATCTTCCCTGGGTTTTCCCCAGTGAGTTGATAAATCCACACCCTCCCCCCTCCCACCTGCCCACGCCACCGCCCCTCCATAAGGGGTGTGCAATTGCACCTGCCCGTCTCTGAGGCGCAGGTTTGATTGCATCAGAAGCCTGATTTTCTGAGGAATCAGGCTTCCGAGGGGCATGTGATCAAACCTGCCCCTCAGAGATGGGCAGGTGGGATTGCACGCCAACCACTCAAGAGGTCATGGCAGGCTGATGTAAGCAAAACACTCTGGAGTGTTGTGCTTACGTCAGTGCTCAATGGCTGGGAGGGATTCCTCCCGGTCTTCAAGACTTGTCTTGAAGACCGGGCGGAATCCCTCCCGGCTATCAAGACTTGTACAGTTTCAATAGCCGTGAGGGATTCTCCTGGCCATTGTGACTTGTACAGTCTCAATAGCCGGGAGGGATTCTCCCGGCCATTGAGACTTGTACAGTCTCGATAGCTGGGAGGGATTCCGCCCAGTCTCCAAGACTGTACAAGTCTCAAAGGCCAGGAGGAATCCCTCCCTTCCATCAGTCTCCATAGCTGGGAGGGGTTCGAACTTATCACAAGTCTCCAGCTGCGGCGGGCGCATCTGGCAGCGTAGCGCTGGCCAGGCGGTTCCCGAAGGGAACTCCCCGCAGGGGAGACTTGGGCCAGAGGTCGACGAACTCAGGTGCTGAGTTTCTCCTGTTTTGGTGGGAGCGTCACAAGATTTGCAATCATGATGCTCCCTCAAAAGTTTATGGATGTTTGGCCCGGAATACTTGAAGGGCTAGATGATCCTATTGATCCAGCCCAAACTCAGAAGTTGTACACCACAACTGGAGTTAAGATTGATTTTCTAAAATTCAGATTTGAACTTTTTTTGAGCTCAAATGCGGGGTTTGCTCAACTTGGGCCCACCAAAATAAGTCAACCTGAGTTGAAAAGTCAATGTTTTCAAAACCTTTCTGTAAATGCTTAACAAAAAAAACAAAAAAACTGAACACAGGGAAATGTGGACAAGAAGCAGACCCTTCTTGGTCCACAAGGAAATTATATATATGTGGATGAAGAAGAGTGTAGTCAGAAAAATACACAAAAAAACGGGTTTCAAGCCCAATTTTGAAAACTCACCACGCGGGGATCACCACATCTGTTCTAGGCCTCCACTGGCGTGGACAGCTCCGCTGCTCGCTCCCGCTCCCGCCGTGGAGGCCTAGTTAGGCTCGGGAGGGGTTCCTCCTGGTCCGGGCAGAATCCCTTCTGGCTATCAAGACTGGACAAGTCTAGAAGACCGGGAGAAATTCCTCCCAGCCATCAAGACTTTGTACAAGTCACAATGGCTGGGAGGGATTCTCTGCATCAAGACTTGTACAGTCTTGAGACTGGCGAGTCTTGAGACCGGGAGAATCCCTCCTGGCTATTGAGACTGCAAAATCTCAAAGACCCGGAGGAATCCCTGCAAGCCATCGAGACTGTACAAGTCTTGATGGTTTGGAGGTATTCCTCCTGGCCTTCAAGACTTGTACAGTCTCAAAGACCGGGTGTAATCCCTCCCGGCTATTGAGACTGTACAAGTCTCAATGGCCAGGAGGGATTCCTCCAGGCCCTCCAGGCCGGGTGTGCAGGCCAAACCACCCTTTTTTGGGCGGGTTGTACTGCACACCCCTCTTGTTGCAAATGTCAGCAAACAGAGGGGCGTGTGGCAAACCCCACCCAAAAAGAAGGGCAGGTCTTACTTCCCACCCCTTTTGGAGGGGCGGGGTGTGGGCGAGTGGGAAGGGGGAGGGTGTGCATTTATCAATGCACCTTTCCCCAGTTTTCCACAAATATTGGGAGTTGATCCCCCAAACCTGTCAGCAGGGTTGGGAGTTGGCCCCAAAATATTTAAATAAAAAAGAGAAACCCCCAGAGGGGTTAGGAGTGAATGCCCCAAAAACCGCTGGCTTTTGGGGGTTAGTGAACCAAAAAAACAGCTGAGAGAAACCCCATTGTTTTTTGAGAGTGTATACACTCAATGACCAAGAGGTTTTCTCTTGGCCATCAAGGTGTACACCCTCAACAACCAGGAGAAATCATCTTGGCCATTGAGAGTGTATACCCTCAACGACTGAGAGGTACACTCTCAGTGGCCAACAGAAACCCTCTTGGCCATTGAGGGTATGCACTCTCAATGGCCAATAAACCCTCTTGCCTGTTGAGGGTATACACTCTTGACAGCCAAGAGAAAACCTCTTGGGTTGTTGAGAGTGTATACCATCAATGGCCAAGAGGGTTTCTCTCAGCCATCAAGGTGTACACCCTCAACGGCCAGGAGAAATCCTCTTGGCTTTCAAGAGTGTATACCCTCAACAGCCAAGAGGGTTTCTCTTAGCTGCTGAGAGCATCTCCAGAAGAGCTGGGGTCAATGTCTGTCCTAGAGATAGTCGGTCCGCATCCGGATACCCGTTCGGATGCGGATATCCGATGGCAATTTGAGCGAAATTGCACATCCGCATCCGCACCCGCACCCGCTAGCGGGTATCCGTCGGCCGCAGCGGGTATCCGAGCGGGTATCCTCGGATACCCGCCCTCTAAAGGGCCGGCGACGGACCGGCTGGAAGGGTTTCCTTCCAGCCGACGAGGCACTTGTACCTCGACGGCTGGAAGGGTTTCCTTCCAGCCGGCGAGGTAAATGTACCTCGGCGACTGGAAGGGCTTCCTTCCAGTCGACGAGGTACATGTACCTCGGCGACTGGAAGGGTGTCCTTCCAGTCGACAAGGTACAAGTACCTCGCCGGCTGGAAGGGTGTCCTTCCAGCCAACGAGGTACTTGGCCGGCCGCGGGTATCCTTTGGGATACCCGGATACCCGCCAGCAATTTGCGGAAAAGGGGCCATCCGCACCCGCTGGCGGGTATCCGTTGGCACAGGCGGGTATCCGCCAGCGGATAACGGGTATCCGCGACGGATACCCTTCGACCATCTCTAGTCTGTCCAAATAGTGGCCTACAACCACATTTCACACCCCTGTCACATTGCTCCCACAGCAGACTGGCAATAGATAGCAGGGGGTAGTTGGCCAAGTTGCCAAGCTCTGGTAGACAACTAGCGACTGCTGTGGGGGAGGTGTGGATAGGTGTTGAAGTAGTGGATTGAGGATCATGGTGGGTGTTGTGTTGGTGTGTGTTGTGAGAAAAACACAGCAAGGAGCAAGTAGCCGGTCTCCGCCAAGTTGGCTATTGCCTTGGGTTTATAGCCGGGGGCAAGGTGGGGGGGTGATCAGTTGCGGGTCTAGTTGCGGCTCTGCTGGACCCCAAAATTCTCCCGCAAGCTTCTGATTTGGGCTGAAAATTGCTCAGTTGCGGCTCTGCTGGAGATGCTCTGAGGGTGCAGAGAAACCCTCTTGGCCATAAAGAGTGTGCTCTCAGAGGCTGGAAGGAATACTCCTGGCCATCAGTCTTTTTTTGGGTTCACCAACCCCCCTCCCCCCCCCAAAAAAAACCAGTGGGTTTTGGGACATGGGCTCTCACCCCTCTGGTGGTTTCTGTGAAACCCGCACCTACTCCGGTTTCACAGAAATAACACTGACCTGTCACAAAACTTTGACTCAACTAATAAACCAACAAATAATCCCCCTTTCCTAGCTTGGTAGAGATTTGGTGACTAAATTCTACCATGCTAGGTGAGCCTTTCTTTCTCATTTCTTTCTCCTTGTTTTCTTCCTTTTCATGATTGTTGTAATTGTGCAGAGATTTGACAACTAATTTCTACCATGCTAGATGAGGCTTTCTTTCTCATTTCTTTCTCCTTGTTTTCTTCCTTTTCATGATTGTTGTAATTAGGGCAGAGATTTGACGACTAAATTCCACCATGCTAGATGAGCCTTTCTTTCTCATTTCTTTCCCCTTGTTTTCTTCCTTTTCATGATTGTCGTAATCAGGGCAGAGATTTGACGACTAAATTCCACCATGCTAGATGAGCCTTTCTTTCTCATTTCTTTCCCCTTGTTTTCTTCCTTTTCATGATTGTTGTAATCAGGGCAGAGATTTGACAACTAACTTCTACTGTGCTAGCAATTCACTTTGGTTCTAGAAATACCTCCAAGACTTTGTCTTGTATCCAATTGACAGCAGAGCAGAGTCATTCTGACTCTTACAGTTTCTTTTTTTATTTAAATATTTTGGGTGGCCAACTCCCAACCCTGCTGACAGGTTTGGGGGATCAACTCCCAATATTTGGGGGAAATGGGTCTTGGGAGTCAACTCTCCATTTTTTTGGGAGTTGTTTAGCCAAGCTGCTTTTTGTTTGAGCATTGAAGGCAAGAAATCTGATTGATGAGATGTGAAATTTTCATGGGAAATGTTAAGATTATCATCTTCAAACATCACTAGAAATCTGGTTTTATGCTACTCTAGGACACCTTCAATGCTGACTTGCGCGTGGTGAATCTATCTTGGACAGTGATTTAACCACTTCTGTACTTGCTCTGCCCAGCTACTTCAGTTGCCAGTGTTTCTCTGTCTGATTTCTCTCTCCCTTGGCTTTTACTTCTTCCTCTCTTTAATCCTTTAATTCTTGTTTTATCTTTTCTTTAATTTCTCTGATCATGTCTCCCATATTCCATGAAAATCATTACTCCACCGTCCATGATCACTTATTCCATTCCACAGAAAGAAATCCAAAGTTTTGTCATTGTTCTATTGTGAACTTGATAATTATGAATACTCTCTTGATGATGAGTATGTTAGGGAACATGAGACCTTTCACTTATGTAAGTAGGTGGGTGATGATTGTTGCGGTTGGTTGATCAAGCACAGCCGCATTCAATTTGAAACTTTAATCTGTTTAAATTGACTATTCATTTTTCAACTCCCTTCTTCTCCTCCACTCCAGCGTCTCACCCACCCTCGATCGCACGCCCACCGCCCCTCCCCCTCTTGACCATCCTCCTCCCTCTTGACCGTCCCAACCACCAGCACAAAACAAACATCAAATATTATAGAATTGCTTCTCTTCCTTCTCCCATCTTCATCGATTAGTTCCTTCAATCGTTACTGGCTCAACTTTCTATCTTTATTTCTTAATTCCAGCTTGATTTCTTCCTTCGATATAGATAAGAGACTTCATCAAATCAAAAATGACTGAGAACACTAACGGCGACGGTCCTTCGACTTCCGCCCTCCTCCAATCCCTCTATTCGGCTCCTGATGCTCCTAGTTGCACCGTTGCCGCTCGCGCATTGGCTAATCACATTCAATCCACCGGCATTCACATCCTGGCTATCGATGCCATCACCGATGATCTGATTCGTGCTTCCCGCTCCAAGCTTGGCTCTGAACGTGAGAGCTCGATGATCGCAATCGAAGAAATCTGTCGGACCGTCGGTGCTGGAGGTGGTGTGGAGCCCTATCTCTTGCCACTTCTGCCGATCATCTTGGAACGCTACCCTGAAACTGGAAAGGCCGAGGTCGTCGGTAAGGCTGCAGAGAAAGCTGCCAAACAGTTGATCAAGTTATCTCAACCGGAGGGAGTTCCTAGGTTCATCAAGGTACTCTTCGATATCCTATCCACCTCGAGTGTCAAGTGGAAGACCAAAGCAGGTGCACTCGACCTCTTCGCCAGTCTGGTTAAGATTGGACCCGATCAAGTCGCCGAACGACTGGGTGAAATCATCCCACCACTCACTCAAGAGATGAGAGATACTAAACCTGAAGTTAGTGCTGCCGGCCATAAGGCTGCTATGGCCGTCTGTGGAGTACTCTCAAACTTGGACGTCTTACCATTTGTGCCGGTCTTGGTCAACTGTATGGCTCGACCTGACACCGTACCCGAGGCCATCAAACAGCTCTCGGCTAACGTTTGGGTCAGAGATGTCGACGGTCCGACTCTCGCGGTCTTGGTTCCCCTACTCCAACGAGCACTCTCTGAGAGAAGCTCCATCGTCCAACGACAAACCGTCATCCTGGTCGGGAACTTGTTCAAGCTCGTCCGATCTCCCGATCTTGCCCATCTTCACTTGAAGAATCTCTTCCCGGGTGTCAATCGAATCGCTGAGACTGCCTCGTTCCCCGAAGTTCGTGAATTCGCTCTCCAAGCCGTCAATACACTCATCCTATCCTCTGGTGCCGATGAGTCTACAGTTGCCGCACTCAAAAACTCTGCCCAAGCTAGTACCGGTCCTAGTCCGATTCCCTCTACACCTGGCACACCCTCCGTGAAACTGACGGATGAAGACGAGATCTTGGCTCAGCGATCTCTCAAATCCTTAATCGGGAAGATGGCTCATGTTACCGTGAACCCGTTCATCGAAACCTCAATCTCTTATCAAGCTGGCTCTATCGCCAGCCTGGTTCGCAAGCGTGACTTTGAAGAAGCCCAGTGGACTCGATACACCGTGCCTTACCTGTCCCGTTTCATGCCTGCCGAAGACGCCGAGAAAATCGCCAAGGAGAACTTGAAAAGATGGCTGGAAATTGACAAGGAGCGTTACTACAAGGCTGCCGGCGATGATGATGATGACCCAACTGAGAAAATTGTCAACTTGACGTTTTCCTTGGCTTATGGAGGTCTGTTATTACTCAACCATACGGTCCTCCAACTTCGTCGTGGTTGGCGTTATGGTGTTTGTGGTGCTAACGGTTGTGGTAAAAGTACTCTCTTGGTTGGTCATCTTTCCATCCGTTCATTCTATTTTATCCATCCCTGCCGATTGATCGGGATGATCTAATCATGTTTCCGCGATTAATAGAAAGCCATCAACCGACACCAAATCGAAAACTTCCCTGAAAGTGTGTCAACCTTTTATGTTGAGCACGACATCGATGGGGAAGATGCGGATGTTACCTGCCTACAGTTTTTGATTGCCGACAAGTTTGTTAAGGCAAAGAATTTGACTCAAGACCAGATTTCCGAGCGAATGAGAGAGTTCGGATTTGATGACGCACGCCAGGCATGCAAAGTCCAATCACTCTCCGGAGGTTGGAAGATGAGGTTAGCGTTGGCAAGAGCAATGTTGTGTGAGGCCGACCTGCTACTATTGGATGAACCCACCAATCACTTGGATCGAGCATCGATTGAATGGCTTCAAGATTACCTCAAGGCCCAAACTAAAGTCACCATCTTGACCGTGTCACACGACTCTGGTTTCCTCGACTCGATTTGTACGGACATCATTCATTATCAAAATAAACAGCTAGTCTACTATCGTGGTAATCTCTCCAAGTTCGTTGAGAAATATCCCGCTGCTCGAAGTTACTATACTCTGTCAGCTTCTTTGGTCAAGTTTGTCTTCCCCCCACCTGGTGCACTCATGGGAGTTAGGTCTCAAACGCGTGCGATTCTGAAGGCTACCAATGTCACATTCACTTATCCAGGGGCCCCAAAACCAAGTTTGATGAATGCCTCGTGTGCCGTCACTCTCTCCTCACGAGTCGGAGTGGTCGGGCCCAATGGGGCTGGTAAATCGACACTCATCAAACTCTTGACTGGTGAAACGGTGCCTGACACCGGTAAAATCGAAAAACATCCCAACTTGCGTGTGGCGTATGTCGCCCAACACGCATTCCATAACATCGGTGCTCATTTGGAAAAGACTGCTGTCCAGTATATCGCTTGGCGATACCAAGACGGCCATGACCGTGAGCAAGCCATGAAAGCTGTAAGTCAACTTCCGATCTTGAATGTTTTGTACCCCTTGCTTTGTCAAAGTTTGTTTTGCTAACACATATACTGCTGCTGGTTCAGTCTCGAGTGTTGTCTGAGGAAGAAAAGAAGCAAATGGAGGTGCCGATCGAAGGGAAAAACGGAGAGAAACGCAAGTTGGAAATGATTATTGGGCGACAGAAGCTCAAGAAGTCGTTCCAATACGAAGTCAAATGGAAGAACCTTGACCATCGCCACAACACGTGGCTTCCGAGAGAGAAATTGATGGAAGCTGGGTTCGGCAAATTGGTACAAGAGCACGATGATCTAGAAGCCTCCAGGGAGGGATCTGGTAGCAGGGACCTATCATTCAAAGTGTTCGTCTTCAATTTTCTCCTCTACTGTGCCCACTAGAACTTACTCTTATTCACACGTTTCTAGCATCCGACAACACTTGATCGATGTTGGCTTGGATGGTGACATTGCCGAGTACAATGAATTGAAGGGATTGAGTGGAGGTCAGAAGGTTAAGGTTGTCATCGCGTTAGTCATCTCAACAGATAGACTCCAGAAAGTTGAACTCTGAACTGACTTAAACTTCAACTTGCGATCACAAAAAAAAAAACTTTGGAATGAATTATTGACTTAGAGCTGCTCTCTGGAGTAAGCCGCAAGTATTAATCCTAGATGAACCGACCAACTTCTTGGACAGAGACGCGTTGGGAGGATTAGCGGTAGCCATCCGAGACTGGGCAGGAGCGTTTGTGTGTATCTCGCACAACGAAGAGTTTGTCGGAGCGTTATGTCCGGAGATCTGGAATGTAGATGGTGGAAAGTTAGTTCACAAGGGCAAAGCGGCGGTTGTTGAAGGGGATGCATTTGAGGACGGGAAGCGATTGGGCAGCGGGTTGAATAGCAAGAAGGGCACGCCGTCTGGAAGCAAATCAGCTACCCCTCTCCCTAGCGCTACCAACTCTGATAACGAAACTGGCTCCCCTGCCGACCCCAGCATGCCAATCGTTAAGAAAAAGAAGCTCACTCGAAAACAGCTCAAGGATCGTGAAGAACGTAGACGAATGAGGAAGTTGAAATGGCTCTCCGATTCTACTGGTGCTCCTCGTGAGCCGGATACTGATACTGGTACGTTCAACTAACTTGGCTCTTTTGTTCCTTGTCATCAAATCATCAGCTTACCCTGTTTGACTTTTGGTTTGTGTTCATTGTAGAGGACGAGCATTGAGTGTGATTTCTTCTCCCAAGATCAATCTAATCAATTTTGGTTTTAGTTTTGGTCAGCTTTCTTTTTCCATCTATCTTAGATACACTTTGTATGAGATTTTTTCTTCTTCAAGCTTGGTTTGTTTTGTTTTGTTTTGAGGTGAGAATAATTGGAGCGCTGTTCTTAAGGTGATGTTAGATGGATTTGTTTCTCTAAACATACATAAAACACATACATACATATACATAGACACGATCTCTCCTGTTCATGATTGTCTGTTTTCATTTCTCAACCTTTGTTTTTCATTTTTCTGATATATATACATATAGAGTGTCATTTCTTGTCCACAACTTTCCTTTCCTTTTTTGGAAATCAATCAATACATGAGGATGTTACATGTCATGGACACATCATAGAATATGAATATATTGATTGGTAGTCTAGTACTACAGGTTCTGGTTATTATTATTACAAGTTTATGATGTTGATCACTCATCTTTGGGTCTTGTTGATCCACAGATATCTGTTCATCTGATCTCTCTTAATTGTCAAGTCCTCCTAGTCCTATCATCACACATTTTTCTTTCTGGTTTCTTTGTTTTTTTTTCTCTTCCTTTAAATACATATATAAAGTCTCTCAAGAATCAAGAATTTAACTCAGTTAAATATTCCTTTATAATCAAACTTCACACAAGCCCATTTTCCTGCCCTCCTGGTGGGCTTTGTTAAGGCGAGAACATGGATAAAAAATGAAAATGAAAATTCCCCCAAGGAGAAACTGTATTTTGATGAAGATGAAGGTATTTATAGTGTAAAAAATATGTACAATCTTGTGTTGGTGAGAAAACATGGAAAACTGGGCTTGAGAAACTATAAAACTAATTCTAAAACAAAATCCATAGTACAAACTTAACAGCCTTGGAGTTGCCTGGACTTGAGGGGAAGCAGTCCACACTCGAAACATAACTTCATATCCCGCACTGGATGTGCAGTAAAATAAACCTGGATATGTAGTATTTTTTTTTGTTCACCTCTTCACACCATTTTTTTTTAAAAAAAAAAACACTGAATATCCAGTTTTTTTTACTCCATATCCAGTACTGGATATGAGGTAGTGTTGAAAGTGCCAGTTTGGGGTGAGGGCCTGGGTGGCCTGAAGCCCATTTGGCAGGTGAAACATTTCACCTGCTGGAAACCCCACCTTCCCATTGCTCTCCTGGACTGCCCTTGGGATCATTATGAAACCCTACATCTCCTCTCAGACCCTGTGGTCTGCATGTCCTCAATATAGGTTGTGTTGCAAGAGGTTGAGGGTGGTTCAAAATTTGTCTTCTTTGTAACTGGTTTTCAATCATGCATGTATTCTTCTCAGCATTTCTGGATTAAATATGTTCCATGGAGCCCACAGAGGCAGTCTAACTCTGAGACAGTCTCTTGCATATCTGTACAAACTGGTTCATGGACTTATTAATGCCTCCCCTTCTTTTTTTAACTTCTTCATATTTCTTGCAAAACTTCAACCCTAATGGTCAAGGGTCATATGCAACCATACAGCTCTAAAATTGGATGATCAGATTTGCACTGATCAGGCCTTCTCATGGAAAAGAGGGTGATCACTTTTGGCCAAATGTCTTGGAAGATGGGGCCCTCAGGCCACAAACATTGGTTTACATATAGGCCTCTCTGTGGTACAGACCCTGCAAAGCCCCCCCCCCCCCCCCTTTTGCCAGGTTTGTGGGGGGGCTCTTGAGAGGCCTTGTTAAGCTTGATTTATATATAATCCACTTTTCACCCCCTCCTTTTCCACTCCTTTTTATTTTGGGTGAGTTGGGTTTGTTATGCATGTGTTGGATGTTTGGTTAGAACTTAGATTGTGAACAAAAATCATCATTCTTTGAACACCACAATCACATTATAAAATAAATGAATGAAACAGGTAATTAATCTAACAATTATGTTGTTGAACGTTTTGGGGCATGACTGTACATAAAGGATTGCATATTGGGTACATGGGCAATGGTAACAGTGAAACCAATTTAATACATGTAATTGTGTCTGTTTCTCTCCAAATACATTGTATTTGTATTTTAATGTATCAAAATTGTTGTATCTGGTCACAAATAAAGTCCAATGGAGAATTTGATACTGTCACCATCAAGAATGTTGCATAAGCGTGTTTGGAAACTAAAGGTACAACAAGTGGTCTTCAGGAAGATTGTTTGGTTACTACAACCAAATCTATGACATCAGAGGGACACAGCTGGTTGTCAATAAGGATGGTAATTGGGCCAGGTGTCCAACTGGCCATCCAAACCCAACCAGGTTTGGGTCAGGTTTAGGCCAAGCTTTTGATGGATTTTTTAACTTAGGCCCAGCCCAAGATAGCCGGAATGAAAATTGGGTCTAGGAGGGCCACCCATTGGGCTGGTGCAGTCAGGTGCCCTGCTGGGGGTCTTGCCGCTTGGTCAGGTCCAATATGGAATTTTTACTTTTTACCCCAGCCAATGTTTCAGTTTTTCAAAGAACCAGGTAAAGGCCTGTGGGCCACCTGCGGGCAGCCCAGATAGCCTCCTCAATTCCGGCCCGCGGGCAGCCCCACATCTAATTGGGTTTGGGCCGGGCTGTGTATTTCTTGAATCAGACCCGGCCCAACCCACCCACTACATTCAGCGGTGGGCCGCTACGCTACACTACGCTACAGGGCCATTTAGCGTTAGCGTAGCGGCGCAAAATGTGGCCCTTTTTTGTGTAGTGTTATCGCCCCGCTACCACCGCTACGCTACGCTACGCTACTTTGTAGCGGCACTAACAGAATTTTTTTTTTCTGTAGTGTTAGTGCGCCGCTACCACCACTATGCTACAGCGCTTTTAGCGGCAAAAAAGGCTAAAAATCCGCTAAAAAGCACTGTAATGCAGCGTAGTGGGTACTTTTTTGCGCCCTGTCCGTGTAGTGTTAGTGCAATTCCAACTTTTTGCGCTAACACTACGCTAACTGTTAGCGCACTGTTGCGCCCTTTACGCGTAGTGTTAGCGCAGATGTGGCAGAATTCCGCTACACTACGCTAAAGTTTAGCGGAATTCCGCTACGTTACGCTACACTAACACTACGGTTAGCGTAACTGGCCCACCGTTGCTACATTGCTGGCCCAAGTCGGCAGTCCAAGCCCACCCGATTACCATTGTTAGTTGTCAAGGAGGTCTCCAAGGAACAATTATGACATCATGGATACAGCAGATTTTATTACACCTTGGTAATGGTTCCAGGTTACACAGCAGATACTAAAACATAATGGATATGGTGGTCTGGTTACACAGCAGATACTATGGCATCATGGGTACAGAAGCTTGGTTTTACAGCAAAATGCTATGACAGCATGGCTATGGAAGCTTGGCTACACAGCAAACAACATCACATCATGGAGACAGAGACTTGTTGTCTGGTTACAGCCAAGAAGAAGGCTTACTTACCTGGCAACAGATTGCATATACCTAACATCATGAATTACACCAGCAAAAATAGAGCAATAGTAAAGTCCACCTGCACCAAAAGCCCCCAAAAATCAATATAAAAGGAGGCCCTCTCTCCCCTCATCTCAGAGTTTTTTCCCACCATCCACACAGTCCCTTAGAGCAGTAGTTGATCCTGATCTAACAAAAGTGTTCTGGAGTTTCAGTAATTATTAGTAGTGATTAGTATTTAGTATTTGATTAGTTATTGGGTAGCAGCAGTAGTCATCAGAAAAAAAAGTCAGCAGAATCATTCATGAACAAACATCATAATTATAACATTCCTCATCCCCAATTAATATTAGTAATAATCAACATTATATATCATTAGTAAGCCCTTAGCAACCAAAACCACTTGTTACTATTTAAAAGCAACACTTAGTAGTAGTAATCATCCAACGAAAAAAATTAGGCACAGTAGTCATCAACAGTCACTTCCATCATCTAAATTAGCTGCTATTATTATTACATTCCTTTTCACACAATCACACCAAATGGTGTCTTCACATTATCAATTCCAATTCTACCCCTTCACCCTTGCAACGATGGGTCTTTACTTTACAGATATTGGTATTGTACTGTTACAGTATTTTTTTTGACTCAATAACCCTACGGGTTTTACCGCAATCCGTATCGGATTTTTCTTGACGATATCCCAGTTTGTGGTTTTTGTTTTATTTGCTTTCAATACAATAACTGAGATATGGGTATTTTTTTCTGTTACTGAGCAAATGGACCCATGAGCAATAACAAAGACGGAAACAACTATTTTTTTTCCCTGTCGTCTTCAGAACAAGACTGAATCTCAACAGCTGATTTGGAATTGGATGAACGTTCTGCCTCCGCAGGACGTTTGTGAGGAGCTGGCCGTGTTAATCTCACCCGCGAGTCCGATGATGGTGCCACCATGTTTGGTGCAATGACAAGAGATGAAGCTCTTGATGAGCGGTGTTGTTGAGTCTGAGAGTGATCAGTAGAATAGCCTTCAGTATTTTTACCGCCGGAGGGGTCATTCTGAGTGGATTTTGGAGTTTGTGAGGCCATGCTGCTTCTAGTATCTGGGATAAGGGTCCTGGGGATGCTAGTAGGGGTATGTCCCACATATAAGCAGGGGATAGCTCACTGAAGGCCTGCTGTCATCAACTTAGGTCTTTTTTATGCCTTTTGCCCCTGGTGGAGTTGGTTATTGTGTTAACCAGGGGTAAAACGGAAACCTATAACTATATCTGTATGAAGCAACCAAAAAATGGGTGCATCAATACTATACTAGTTGCTTGGGGCTTGGTCCTTTACTAGTACCGGTATTAGTAACGGGTGATCAAGCATACATTTACTATAACAAAAGGGGCTGGTTATCGTAGAGTACAGTAAAGACCCATTGTTGACCCTTGCATAGTCACTACACTGGGCTCATTTATCTGCATTGTTAATTTTGAGCCATCCACTAGAAGATTTTTGTATTGATTGATATAGGTCTGATAGAGACTACTATCAATGGTGAAACAATGTGATGCAATGCAATAAATAGCCATGTATTAGTATTGCATAGAAAAAGTGATGCATTGCATTGGCATCGTATTGGAAAGCAATGCAAACCAATACCACCAAACTAGAGTGCATCACATCACATCGCTTTGCCAATTCAATACTGATGCACTGTATTGAAGAATTCAATGCAGGGCCCCACATTTCTATCTCGATGCAATGCAATACAGGCCCAATACAATGTGATACCTATGCATGCATTGCATCAGTTACATTGTTGCTACTATACTTATTAGCTCTATCTTTAAATCTACCACACTCTCATAAATATTGATTTTAAGATTCTTTACATATTTGTATAGTACTATAGAGGGGCAGGTCTTTCAAACCACCCTTAATTTGTGTTCAATATTCTTTCAACCTATTCCACAATTTATTTTCCCCTCACCAAACTTCCATCTCAAATATCTTCCATTTGTCCCACAGGAGTCCTACACTGTATGATCTTTTTGTAGCTTCCATTTTTTTGAAAACAGTTCAAATTGGCCAAAAAATGTGCAGCAGTTTTTTTGATAAAATACACACTAGTAACAAACAATGATCACTTGATGACAAGTGACATCAGGCTAAGCTCATCATCTTACCCAGTATGTACCCAGCTCAACTCTAGTTCAGCCCCCTGAAGAGCACAAAGGGGCGATTGTGGT